AACTAAAAAAATAATGTTGTTGTCACTTAGTGTTTCACGCTATGCGTGTTCTGTCAATCGTTGAAGCATGTACATAGTTCAGTTCAAAGGCGTGGCAACATCAATGATCAGCTTGTGTTCAATCAAGTTACTCTGCCCATCAAAAATTAGTTTCTACTTTTCCTGGAGAAGGTCTGTGACACTTGACGATTGGTGGAAAAAGGTCACCAACTTTCTCGCTTTGCCTAAAAGCTTTCGAACTTTAGGAACCCCAAGATAATTTTTCACAACTTAATTTATTCTATGGCCATAGGAGCGAAATCTATCCCACTGAAGGCTTTCATCAGCTTTTTATTTCATTAGCAGCGTTATCTGTTGTCGCTGTTGGTTTGGAGTTCAGCTGCTATGTTTTCTGAAGTGTGACTGCCTTTTTTTTGGACTGCACCTAGGACAGCAGTTTTCAGCATCCATTCATTATCAATGAAGTGAACAAAAGTAGTAAAAAATGACTCGGTGTTAAGGCTGATTCAACCATCATGTTGCGAATTTAGCTCAGTTCAAATAAAAACAAACACAATTTCAGACTCAACCATACTGGTTTACTCATAAATTTCAAAGTTCAAAATTTCACAATGGCTGACATAAACATCAACATACAATTTCTACAATCGAGAGCGAGGGTGTTGCTTAGCGACAGTGATGGGACGCTTTGACTGTCAGTTCGTCCAAATCTCGTGCATATTTCATGTCGTTTCGCAACACATCATGAGTGCTTGCTACAGAGGATGATGAGTTTACATCTTCTTTCAATTTGTTGTCCATATCTATTTTCCGTTGATCTAATCTTCGCAATGTCCACTATTTTTTGTGGACACGACAGAGAGCTGGTTTCTTGATGGATTTTGACGAAACTTGGTGTGAGTGTTTGTAATCACCCAAGGATGAACCCTATTGAAAATCAGACGAATCGAAAAATATTTATAATGAGTTATTGCCCTGGTTCTTGAATTGTAAACTGTAAACAAAACCTATGAAATATGAAAATTTCACTCTCTTGTCAACCTCCCAGACAAATTAGGTGCCATTACAAATGTGGACGTATTATAATTCAACATACTAACTTGAAAATTAAAAAAAAAAAAGAAAAATGAATGGCCCTAATACGCTTCCGTAGTATTACGATGGCATCGCTATTTTTTTTATATATTATCCAATGGTATACTTACCTTGGGTCTAAAAGGGCAACAAATGTCTTGAATAAATTGCTGTCGACTACACTGATGGGAATTACTTTCCCCACTAGAAATTTGCATAATGCATCGTATATTCTTTCTTGACGTTCTGTGCTTATTTTCCCACATGCTGCAGTATTGACAAACAATTCCATTGATGATTGCACTTTCACTTTTGTTGAATTTTCAGAACTTTCAGGACACTCAGTGTTTGACCCATGCTGGTCATGCTCTGTTTTTATATGGCTAAAGGAAGTTTTTGTGTTCCCTGAAGGAAAAAACTAAGGTCATGAAAGTTGCATCATTTATTGAC